CAAACCTCGTGCACTGCCAAACAGGTAGGGCTGAAATGAGCTAACCGGCCACCTGACGTCTAGTTCCCTTCAATCTAACTAGCAGGCAGTAGTAGGTGACATCAATTAGTAAGAAGTATATAGTTTTACTCACTTATGCCTCGTTTCTTGATTAAGATCCAGAAAGTGAACCTTGATCTCAAGAGGGTGAAAAACTATCGGCCTACGTATCCTAGAAAGACCCTTTTTCAAATTAGAAGCTAACTGGTGGATGGTGACAAGAAGTGGAATCCAGGATGCACATTTCGTCCCATCTGGGACTCGTCAACTAGCTGGATTTACCTGCATTCCCCAGTGAATGATGATGTTCCCACTGAGGCTCGAACCCAGTGCCCGTAGTTTCAAACGCCAAGGCGTTATCCACTAGACCACTTGGGCCACGAGAGCCACCTCTTGTGCAACAGGTCATATTAATTATTTGATTCAATTTTAGATTTTCTTATCCATTGCTCGGTCTCATCATCACTCACTGGGGAATGCAGGTACATCCAGCTGGCGGATGAGTCTAAAATAGGACGAAATGCACATCCTGGATTCCACTGCTAGTCACCATCCACCAAATAACTTTTAATTACTTGCCCAGACATCATTGAAGCATCTGCACAAGAAGCCGACATGTCAACCTAAGACAGCAGTTGGGTCCAATCAATCGACGGAAAAATCTAAAATTGAATTAAACTGATTCAAATTATCTTCAGTAATCCTTTACTAGTTAGCTTTTAGATTACATTTAATCAGTCATTTCCTCCAGTCTTTGGATTTCTGATACTTAGCTATCTATGGATCGATTTTGATATCCTCATATTATAGCAATTCTCAGTAATGTCAACAAACAAATACTAGTTTGAATATAACACTGACTTTGATGGCAGCCTGCTTAAATTTCGAGCTATCGAAAAATCCCCCATTATTATATTGCATATAATTTCTCTGGTTTGTTTTGTTTTTATCTAATAAAATATGATCTCTGATGGTGTCTTCTACTCTGACGAGTATTCACAATGTCTACAACCTGGTGATTTGCAAGTCTCTAATAAATAGAAGAGAAAGCAAATTGTGGGTGACACTATATCCCAGTACATGAGGTAATTGTTTATGGGATTTTTAGTACAAATTGTCACTAGCTGAGAAATAAAACTAATTACCTGAATAGTCTTCAGATATTCAGTTATTATTATATCCTTGGGTCTCAAAATATATTCCTACATCTTTATTAAGTGCCTTTTAACCTAGGGCAGTGTATTCCTCGAAGGAGACAACGAAGAAGTATCACGAGGTGGAAGTCAGGCAGTAATGTTTCATGCGATCCACTGTTAATTACTACTTTGCTTGATCTTGAACGAAGAGAAATTCTGTACATTATGTAAACGCTGTTCAGAATAAAGCTGTAGTTATTATTGCAATTAAATATGGCTGCGCACCTTTTAAAGTAAATTCGTTACGAAGAGAAGTTGCATCGACAGAATCTCTCTGTTTATGTATCAGTAGTTATCATAACATTTAAAAGTAATAATACAGTGTCTTTTTATCTCAACACCATGTACTATTAAGTACTTTATAGTCTTCTTTCTACTTGTAATCTACTTAAAATATTCCTTCGATATACTACAGTTGTTCGTGCAACATTAACGGTAAATCAGAGAAGATTTATGTAGAACTTTGGTGATCCTTACTTCTCTTCAAAACCATTTCAATCAATATTGGATTAAAAAACTCTAATACAAAATACCTGACTGTTCAAATGATCAAAATGAGGAAATAACCTACTGTAAACTGGTAAAAATGCATCAGAATTCTGACAGCGTTTGTTTTAGTGGATCAGGATCCTTGTAAACAGAATATTAGTGATTACATCTAAGTACATCATTCAACCGTATTTCACAGATGATTTATAATTAATTTCACACAAACTCGAAGACTTGTGGGCAGGCGAAAACCAACAAACTGACAGAAGTAGTGGACAGTCAAGACAAGACTCTAGGTGGACACAGAGAAGACGGAGGTGATGAAGATAACTAGCCAACCAACAGCAACAACAACAACAACCAGCACCAGTCACCATCAAAGGATGAGATTTTACAGAGGTTGCTTCATTCACTTATCCGACTAGGAAGCACGGTCTCAACCATAGACAGTCAGAACGTATAAAGATGTGAAAGCCAGTTAGAATTGGAAAGGCAAGATTTGCCTTCATCACTCTGAAATTGGTTTGGAGAATCCTCTACACTGAGCCAGCATAAAGGACAACATTTGGATTATCAACACAAATGTGAAGTTAGTCATTTCTTCTATAAGGGTCAGAAACTTTTACTGCGTGTCACGAAAAGCATTTTGTAACAAATTGCAGACTTTTATCAACAGCTGCCACCTTTGCCGGCAGGCTCTTACTGAAGATCAAATGATCGGCTGCCCAGAAAGAATTAGCAACAAGAAACCCTGGCCGGCTGGGAACAAACCGACCAACGAAGAGCCGATCGGTCAACGGATATGTAGGAGAAAGTGGAGATGGTTCCGGCATACGTTAAGGAGGCCGCCGAATGACATAGCGCGCAATGCAGTCACCGCTCGACTGGAATTCAAATGGGAAACGATGAGTCGGTTATCAGTACAAGAGCGACATAGAGGAGATTGTGCGGCGAGAAGGAGATGACAAACTATAGGTAATAGTGGACGCAGCTGAAGAGAAAGACAGAGAATAGAACAAGGTGGGAATGTGTTGTTGAAGTTGTATGTTCCACTGGAAACCCAAGAGAATAATAATAATGTTATTCAACTAAAGTAACTAAACGATATAGTGTATACTTTCATCGAACGTCTGGATAAATCACAAGCCAAAAACCTTTCACTTATAGAAGGTCCTCTATTTTTATGATGTACTGAACACTGACCGCAACACAGTGTTATCTGTTCATGAAGTTATTTTATTCTTGTATACAAATATGACTATAAACGCACAACTATCACAAGACAAGGATGAGTTCTGTGCAGCTTTTTCGTCTCAAATTCAAAATATCAGTTAAACGGAAACAATATTAACCTTTATTTTATGTATCTTGGTAACTTCTTGTTTAAGAAGCATAAGCATCCTTACTGATGTCTGTACTGTGTCTTTTACTGTGTCCTCTATTTATTCACCTTTCTATATATGAAATTCTGATCTCCTCTCTTTTTGTTAAATACACTTAAACACATGTACTTCGAATGATTACCGATCTGACCACTGGATGACATCAGTCAGACAGAATCAATGAAAAACCACAAGGCTATAGACAGCTGTTTCGTCCATGTTTGAGACTCCTCAGTAGTACACACCCACAGTGATTGGAACACCGGAACTTCTAATCACAAGGCCAGCTCGTTTACCATTAAGGCACTGAGGCCGTATCCAACGGTGGCTGCACTACATACGTCGTGAATTGGCAGAAGCTAGAATTCATCTGTCATTGTATATTTTTCAGAACTTTTAATATTTTGTTATTGATCTTTCTTAAATCTACAAATTCTTGATTTGTTTGCATGAATATTCTTCCAAAGAGATTTTAACCTGATATTTTATTTGACATAGTGCACTTTATCAGAATATTAATAATGATAAAGCACAAGAGTCTATTTAACCAGAAATTAGGAAGGTTTCCAGCAGACACAAATGATGTTTACTAACAGGTACATTGGGTGTATCATCGATTAGCAGACACACGTATCATCAGCATTATTCCATAAGGCTCCAAGTGCAACATTCGAATTCAACAACACATCTCTACTTCAGCCTACCCTTTGCAGTCCTCTTTGACTGGTCGTGCAGTTGCCCATAGGCCCACATCTCTTCCTCACCCGACCTTCCCTATGTCACCCTTAGAAAGAAGCCTAAATCACTGCATCCCACTTGGGTTCCACTCTAACGATAGCCTAGGGGTAATGTCACCTGAAGGTCTCCTCGGTGTGCGTCCGATCCATCTCCATTTCTTCAGGATAATTCTTGAAAGATGGGTGTTTGATTGGTTCGTTCCCAGAGTTTCTTGATGCTAATTCTCTGCGGCCTTTGGATCTTTGGTATTGAGCCTGCTGAGGTGGCATCTATTGATGAAAATCTTCAGAAGTCTGTTAGAAATAACTTTCGCGACGAACCGGCCAAGTTTCTGACCCACACAGAAGTAACTGACTTAACATTGGTGTTGAAAATCTAAACTTTGCTCTTTATGCTGCTGAGTGCAGAAGATTTCCGAACTAATTTCACCGTGATGAAGTTCTCTCTTGCCTTTCCGATTCTGGCTGCAACAACTCATCCGTGGAGTCGGCTGTAGTTGAATGTACGCTTCTGTGATAAGTGAAAGAAGTGACCTTTTTCAAACTTACTCCGCTGATTGTGATTGGTGCTTTTTGTTGCTGGTCGGTATCTTCATGATCGCCGTTTATTTGAAGTCCTGTCTTTTCTGCATGTATATTCTGCCAACTTTTCACCAGTAAGTCTTCACACTTACGCGACATGAGACATAAACCGTCCGCAAAGTCCAACCATATTAGTATAGATCAAATTTACTAACTCGTAAAAGGTAAACCATGCGAAACAAAAGTTCAATTTCCAAGTTAATGGAAACGATCAGTGAAGCTATGATTTAACAACCAGTCGCGAGAAGGGTTGTCTGGAGATGGAATTATATAATTTCTGTAAAACATTTAGATAAGGTCACTTCATATTGAAGCCTGCGCTGATAATGTTATCCAGGAAGACAACTAGAGTTTCGCAATTAAATCAACCATCTTAGAGAACACAACCAAATTAAAATTGATGCATCTGTTTATTATCCAACAAATGAAACTTAGTAATAACTTAATTTTGTAAGTCTTCCTTGAGATTTAGTGATAAAAAATGGATTCGCGTAGCAGTAATCTTTTATTATATTCAATAGTATTGGAGCATAACATTGACTAACAATAATGATAAATATAGTACTTGTTTTTTCTTAACCAGATTTGAAAAGAAGAAACGATCTATCACCCAAGAAAAAGTATATAAAGCAGTGTTCTTCATGTGAAATATCACTGGAAAAAGAAATTAAAAAGAGAAACAGAAATTATGTATAAATCTGAATGATATATGCGTAAATTTAAACTTCAAAATGTGTTAGAGGTCATTCCCCGGTATGGCTGCGAAAAGAAGGCACTGGTTCAATCAAAAGCGCCATAAATGAACACCTCCCCAACTTTTGTCACAGTAACTCAACTGACTCATCATTCAGAATCATTTACACAGTAAACAAAAATCTACCAAAGGCAGAGTGTTTCCGACTTCTTTGTACTAGAGAAGCCGTCGCTACATGCCTCGGAAAACCATAGCTGTGTGTTCAAAATAAACTGATTCAACGCCTACATTTACCATGGATTTAGTTCGCTTTGTCTTCTTTGGTCACGTTTTTTCATCCCCTCCATTTCCCATTTTTCTCGGTTTTAGAATTATTATTCTTTCGCCTTGTTCCCTTGCTCATCCTGCATAACGTTTCTTCCAAGACCCTTGTAATTTGTATTCATACCTTCAAACTTTCATGTCAAGTTGAAAATTATTATGCTCCTTAATCACCTTCGTTACTATGTGGAATTAAATAAATAATAATTGTATCTATGTAAACTTATGTATATAAGTGCGATTGTACTGTTTTTGAGAATGAAATTGCCGAAAAGATATTTTTTTGCTGAACTTCTTGTTCTTTTCCTTCAAATTTAAATTTGCCTCCAGGTAATTCAGGAGAGTTTATTTAAAACAGTTTAGATATATGCGTACATTAAACTGTATTCTAATACCGTTTGGCTAGCCTACTATCCAGCTTTTCCGGCTTTCCAAACCTACTGCAGGCTAGAAAACTAGGTGACTTTAGGAATCCAACGAGTGGGAATCGAACTCGGATTATGTGAGTGGCTGGTGAGCATTTTACTACTGAACTACTTACATAAGTTAAACATGACATTATAATGCTAATCGGCGGTCATAATGTTTCTATACCACTGTACCTGCTAAAAAGTCTTAAAGAAAAATGTACTCTCTTTGTAAGTGTAACCAGTATTGAGGTCACCACCACTTTCGCAGCTACTCTGATTAATTAAATTGTAGGGTCAGTAGAGCCTGACCAGCCTCAACGATTAATATGGATGCTTTACTAATCCAAAAAGCCATAGTTTATCTACTAGCGAAGAGCAGTTTCATCTAATCAATCATGAATAAATACAAATTGACAAAATGTTGATTTTTAGTGTTTGGACGAGGGGATCTAATATTGAGCTGTTGACAATATTGACAACACCTGCATTTAACCACACTGATAGGTGTTCACAAGTACGAAAAATTGGGTTTCCAGAGCAACTAACGACCAATATAACTGGCTCCACAGCAGTACTTGAATTGGTAGAGACAGTTAATGGTAGTAGTTAGCCTAAGCATTTCATCTTTTAGTTTTGAAATCATAATGGGTTGTGTCGAAAATATGAACAGCAGATTACAGGGATTAAGTGTTCTTTGGATCGGTTTTCTCAACGTGTTTGCTATTATTTCCCTTTCATTTGGTAAATCTCCTCTGAACTGTATTCATATATGTATAGAAGCTTCTTGTTAAGAGATACAGAAGAATTCTTTTTTGCTCTCTTCGCCATATGTTTCACGATGAACTTTTCAGGGTAGGTACTTTCACTTGATTTATCGTATAAAACTGCAAGTTCGTTTCCAGTAGCATCTTCTGAACAAACAACTCTGACCCTACTATACCTGGGGATCTTTAACAGATTTCATTGTTTTCGGAGTGTGTTTACAAATATTTTGTCAGTCTAACGTCTCAATTTAATGAAGTTTTAGCAGCAATGCGGTTCGAATCGAAATCGGTGACTGCAATGTATCAAGTAATTACATGGCCATAAAATAAACAACATGAAGTCGTCTCTGTGATACTTTCTGCCTTTACAAGTGTTGCCTACACATTTCATATCTTTACTTGAAATCCATATTTACGAAATCTTCAAAATATTTTGTGAGTTTGACTGCCAGTGTTATGCCATCCCTGAGTGAATGTTTAAGCCGCGCTCCTTGTTTCAAGTTTCGTAAACTCTATAATATAAACTGAAGAGCTACTGGAAATCAACAGGCTTTGGAAGTCCGATGCTTTCTAGTTTGAAATCCGTCAGTATTACAATCCCTCTGTTTAATAAGGATTCATAATAAGTTTAATTAAATCCTATACCACGTTTACCTAATCAGTAACACTTTCAAATTCACTGAGTTCATGGAATAACAAGGCAGTTATTTAACTCTTTGTGTGATCCAGAGGTGTGATATAGTTACCGCTTCACCTCTAACAAGTAAAGAATGAATATTTAAGTGATCATAACTTGAATAAATTTGATGGAATACTAGATAAGGTGACCATGAGTTCTCATCCATATTCATGGCGAAAACTATCTACATAAAACTGACTAGGTATTAGAATATTAACTGCTCATATTACCTGAGACACGGAATCACTAGAGATGACACTATTCAGTTGGCATACAAACAGAACTCAGATTTAAAAGCTGAGCTTATCAAATGTTGGAAAATCTTCATTAAGAAACACTTATAGAAATCAGTGTACCTCAGCGTCATGCGCGTTTCCGATGTGTAGTACGACAAAATAGTTTTACTTCTCAAAATAAATATTCCCATGGCATAATTGCATTCAGCTTCAGAAATTTTTCTGATAATTCATGCCTTTGAACAAAAATTTACAGATGTACGGTTCATTTCATTCACTTTCTAATGAATTTTAATGTCATCCGAATAAACATTCAATACTTCGAAGTTCAGAACTGCTAGATTCCTCAGAATACTCAGGAAGAATTCTCATCAAATTAGATGTTTGATCACAAGCCGATGTGAGTTAGGTTTATACTAGAAAACTAGGGAGTATTGGACAGAGGTTTCGTCCTAGTTTTGGACTCCTCATCAGTAACGCAGCTAGAACCTCCGACCTTCCGATTACAAGGCGTGCTCATGTACCATTCCCATAAAAGCCTTCTAACGAAGAAAATGTGATTCAGTCATTTATCACACATTCTACCCCAACTGAACCGAGATTGTTTGTAAGCTTTCTCATCTGAAGGAAATACCGGCCGTATATAATCTATACTGGTTTCTCAGCTTGTATTTAGTTCAAAGACATAAATCTTGATCTGGTTATATCTGCTTCACGAACAGCTAATGAATCATTTTATCGTCTGAGTTACTGAATTTGTCGATCACTAAGAGCATATGTAATGATGAATTTAGAGGCTAAAAAGCATAAATAAATAACTGGGTTTCCTAATTTTGTTAATTTCTGAATTTTGCTGAGTCATACTTGAGAAAATAGACATGTAAAGCATTTCAAACCAGCTCCATAGTGAAGATCACGATGGCCAATTAGAAAGCATTACCAACTAGGGACTCTGACAAGTGGCGAACCAACCAAAAATCTATTGCCCAGCAAATATGTATGAGGAAATGGAGATGGAACGGACAAAAGCTGAGGAGACCTCTGAGTGACATCATGCACCAGGCCATCGATCGAGGGGAAACCGAATAAGAAGCGAGTGATGAGTTGGGCGTTGGTTCGAGAGTGATACTGAGGAGATAGTGTGAGACAGGAATGAGAGTTTATGGGAAATCGTTTAGCCACTGGGTATTGCAATGAACGGGAAGAAAAGGAGGTGTGCTGCTGAAGCCCTGTGTTCCACTCGGAATCCGACGGAATAATAATAATATAATTCAATGTGTAGTTACGACACAGAAGTGGTCATCATTGTTTGAATACTAATCAGTAACTAGTGTAATGCGTCTAATCGTGTCTGTGATGAAAACTGAACTCTACCAGTCAATGTGGCTACTATGCCAGGTGGCTTGTCATCACGGTGCACTGCGAATTGTTGGTATTAGATGGTTGGAGGCAACCGACAGGAAGCCGTCCTTGAATTTAGGTTTCGTGCTTACTGCCATTTACCATTCAGTAAGGCGTATCTGCAACCTTGGAGAAATTCATGTCCCATCTGAGATTCAAACCCACGTCCAAACTAAGTACCCAATAGAGTCCTACGGAAAGTCAATCGTCAGCCCGAATATCTCAGTGGTAAAGTGTCTGATTCCAGCGCTGAAAGACGCGGGTTACAATCTCAGATGGGACATAGGTTCCTTCAAGGTTCCAGATACCATTGCTAACTAGGGAGTGAGGACTAGCCCGGAATCTAAGTCAAGCAATGCTTCTTGTGGCCGATTGTCTCCTACCATCTAATAAAAGTAGAAAGAATCCACAATCCAAGCCCCTACACAAGCAAGTATAACCAAACCAACCAGGATTTAATTAGTTACATAATAAATAATAAGACGTTTTAAATCTTACAGCAAATTTTAACCAAAAAAAATCATAATTTTGTGAATTCTTTTTGTTTACACATTACATTACACTGACTCACCTCCCGAACTGTTTGCCAACAATACAATGCCATGTACGACCATATTTTAAATTAAAATATTGTTTCAAATGAGATGCAACATCTTTATCGACTTGATGTCTTTCCATGCCAGTTGCGCCTACATTGACAGCTTCTTCTTGCATACTCAATTCCATGTCAGTATCTTTGATAACAGCTTTTGATAAGGCCATAATCTCTGTATGATTACAATCGACTGTCTGATAGGATAATAGAACAATATAGAACTATAATGAATTGCGCTGATGCTTTATATATATATATATATATATATATATATATATATATATATATATATATATATATATATATATATATATATACAGCTGAATCCATGTGTTATCATCAAATTAACCCTTATCACATTAAAATCTACAAGTGGTTTATCACATTTAAGAAAGAAAATATTTCTAGCTGTTTAGTTCAGAAGAGTTATATGATCAATCAGATTTTATTATACTTTTTTAAGGGGTTTTTGTCAAAATAAACTCCCATTATTATCATCCTTAAAAATGTCGGCATTATTATTATTATTATTATTATTATTATTAACATTATCATCATTGTTCTAGTCATGAGTTGTATGCTCATCATTCCATTCCGTTTGACAGAATATGCTTTATTCAAAGTAGTAAAGCGTATATATGCGTGTACAACACATGTGAACACTAACAATGATTCCACTTTTTCAATATTACTCACATGTCTTTTAAACTCTATCCCAATCTCTCTCGCTCTCTCTCTCTCTATCTAAATAACATTAAATTTGATGAATTGTTTTACGTAAATGAAAGAAAAACCGAAAAATCAGCTAAACAGCATTTTGTATTCTGAAGAGATTTTTTAGTTGTTGTTATTTTAGTGTACTGTGCATTTTATAACCAGTGGGACGTATCGCCTTATATTGTGGCTATTACTATTAATATTATTATTATTATTGTTGTGTGCAATTTCATCAATTACTGTTCGTGCGTTGGGGTAATGACACTCCATTGAATAAAAGTTATAAAAGCATACATACGTGTGAAATGAAGAATGCGATGTGCTATGCTGATGCGAAGAAAAAGTGATGAGTTAGGGTGTATCATTCGTAGGGACACTCGTCAACCATGTAGGTGGTCCAGGTTTGTTTTTAGCAGTCGATGTATTCCTAAGCCTTGCTCAGTTGGTAGTTTACCTAGTAAAGAGGATTAATGCTCAGAAACTCCATCCTGTGTAAAAACAAACATTAGCGCTACTGAAACTTCAGAGTTTAGAGCTAGAGTCTTGTTCCACACAAATTTCTTTTTATGCTACCATCTGGTTTTCTTGCAAGTAAGACATCCAGGAACGCAATTATGTCTTGGGATTCATCTTCTCACGTGAATTTCATAGCTGAATGTACTTCATTGAATTCAGTAATTATTGTACTCCTAGCAGAACCATTATCATAAAGGATGAAGGTGTCATCCATATATAGGCAATACAATGAGAGCTTAGCGATAAGGTTGTTCAAAGGTCCATTTTCTAGCTAACTTAGAAAGAAATCAGCCAGAATTGGACCCAGTGGGGAGCCCATAGCCACACCGTCCACTTGCCTGTAAAACGTGCCATCAGATTTGAAGTTTGCATTCATGGTACATTTATCGACTGGTTATTCACTTCTTCACATACGTTGCTGACCGTTTCTATGAGAGGTATATTTGTGAATAACGATGTTATGTCCAGAGATATCATGGTTTTGTCCCTGATATTGCCATCTTTTACTTTGTCTACGAATTCAAATTCTTTGACGCTATATTTCACTATCTTATCATGCAAAGGTTTGCGAATACTTGCTAACCATCTAGCTAGAGCATGGTAGGGCGAATTTCGCATATCAAGTAGTGGTCTTAAAGGTACCCCTGGTTTATGCACTTTAGGTAGGCCATACAGTATTGGCGTATACGTGTCCGTTGGTCTGATTTCTCCATATAAACTTTCAGAAAATATCTGCTCCTCCCTTAGTTTCTTCAAATGTCTGGTTAATTCATTCTCTATTTGGTTATTGAAATCTTTCTTCTCCTCAAGCTTTCGAAACTTCTATGTGTCCTTCAATATACCATTCACCTTTTTAACATAGTCACTTCTATCAAGGAGGACTACTCCTGATCCTTTATCTGGCTTTGTGATTATCAGTCTCTCATAATTTATCAGTTTTTTAGTTCTTCTCTATACTCCCTTGGCAAGAAACGTTCACTGTCGCATTCTTTTTGATAATAATTTATCATCAGGTTATATATTTATACGACCATAATAATAATTAGTGGAATGTTGTTGCTGAAAAGATAAGGGCTGTTTTAAATTAAATTTAACCAATAATCTGGACGTTTAGATTTCATAAATATCATCAAGAGATTACAGGCATTAATATAACACTAAACTGACTGAATATTCGATAAATTAAGGGAAGTAACACAGAATTTATGAATCTGTAGGCGAGGGTAGCAATATTGACTGAATCTGACTCTTTTGTGCATTGATCTCTAGTCGTTTCTAGCGAAATGCAGTGGCCTTTTCTGTTTGGAGTGTTTGATATTTAGAGGCCTTTGGTAATTTATTTGATACCCAATAGACGATAGCTAAACCTTCTTCAATGTTAGCTCTGTGGCCTATTTGGATGAGATGATCCAATACAGAACTATTAGCGGTTTTAACAATATCTCAATTTAACCACATTCGTAGGTGTTCATGTGCACGAAAAATTAGGTTCGCAGAGCAACTACTAACCAATATAACTGGCTCTACTGGAGTAGCTGAATCGATAGAGACAATTAAAGGCGGCTAGCATAGGTAATAATAATTTGCTTTATTCTAGAACAATACTAATAGCAAAGTGTGGAATTTTCACCATTTGGTACAATATCGCACCTAATCTTATCGAATAACACTAAAAACGATTATAAAGATAATATTACAGGATTTTTAATGGCAGTTATTATATGGTATTAGTAGTAAAAGTAAAGTCATGTGTATATATATAATTGTAAGTAATAATAATGCTAGTAGCTAAGATTGTCTGTTAACTGAGGAGATAGTGTTAACATAGATTACAAATAGGAGAGTTTCACGCTTTACATTTGTCTCTTTAGCATCGAAAATGGGCTGGCCAAATATGGTATCGTTCGTTGACTTCCTATACTCACCAGCACGCGTATATAATCTCTTGTACTCACTTCTATTTCTATCAGATGAGATACAGGACGGGGAGAGTTGAGAATAGATTGTGGGTGTTGAGGTTCAGACAATATAGATTTAAACCATTTCTCGCATGAGTTTAGATATCTGTCAACTAATGTAGTGAAAAGCTACCTGACTTAGTTGCATACCACTTGCCCTACTAACAACGCTGAATACCCTTCTCAAAATGAAATAATCGTTTTTCAGTAGCCCAGTAGGGAAGACTAAGAGCAGGGGAGCAGTAAAGCACAGTTGGTAAAATACACGAGTTAATAAATTGTGGACGCAGAGATTGAGTGATTCCAGATAGTTTTAGCTTCTTAATGCAGTAACTTAGACGGAAGATTTTCCTGAAGATCAATTAAATATGGGATGAGCAAGTAAGGTTAGAGGATAGAATTATACCAAGGTATTTTGTGTTAGACCTAGTTTCTTTTACAGTCCGCTCTATACTACAAGCATCGTGTGTACTTCATCTTCTAGCTTCGAAATCACAACCGGCTGTGTGGAAAATATAAGCTGCAGTCTACCAGCAATCAACTTTATTTGGATCGGCTTCTTAACGTTTTGGCTTTTATTTCCCTTTCCTTTGATATATCCCCTCTGAATTGTATTCACACATAGAGAGAGGCTGAACAGAATTCTTGGGGAACTTTAATAAATAAAAAACAATATAAATTAAAAAAAAATCACAAGCCCTACATTGACTTCACAATTTGCAAATAATACCATCGATTCTGTATTGAGCATGTTTTGTCTATCATTCTCCATTGCTTAATAGGTTCTTCTCACGTTCATACTTCAGTGTCTTATACACTGATGTACACATTATCATTGCTTTCACGAAGACGTTACTTGACATATTACTTACATCTTCCTAAAATCAGTAGTGTACGTGTACAGTTTTTAATATAAAAGTCGGTAGTTTGCTTTATCAGCAATAAACTTAATTCGCCTATAGATATTCCATTGTAAGTGATTCTTAACACACTAAGTCGACTTAACTGATTCATGAAGTATTTGACTAAGATTATTATCATGTGTGAAGTAAATGGAAGATCAAAAGTGGTTCTTAACAGAATAAAAAGTGATTAAGGTATTTTACTGTAGAAATAAATCGTTCCACTTCTACCCAGCTGGGAAAAAAACCAGATGGTTTGAAATGATTCGGCCCTCAGGGATCAGAATACCATATAATCTGATTATGAGCTGTAGCCTAAACGGTCGGAACAGCAGTCTAGTGTTTAAATACCCTTGATCTACCTGAAGAGTACTACTAGTTAGTGTGAGAATCGTCAACTTACTCATGTCAACCGACAGCACACTTAGTTTTTCTTTTCTTCTCACCAGTTTCAAGATCAGACAGGATCAAATTCTCAGTTTGCTGTTTACTCAGATCAAGGTGAAATTTTGATACAATGTCTTCTGAAAACCGAAATTATTCAAATTACAATATGTTATCTATTTGATACTGTGTTTAGCGGTCAGGTAAACAAGCATATATTCATGACACTATTTATTGCAGATTGACTGGCATGATGGATGCTGCATGCCACATCATCAAATCAGCTAGTATTGCTTGCTAGTAAAGTCGAAGTGATTTAAACACTGGACGTTGTCCACGCATTGTCGCCAACCTTCCCATTTCTTTCTGGCTTACTGTTAGCCAGTAAACTAGCAGTAATATTGTCAGCTTTACTATTGGAATTATTTTTGAACACAGTACAGAATTCTCAGAGAAATTCCCTGGGAAAATATTTACTCCCCGTGTAGAATTTTCAAGTTAGTGTTCATCAGCAGTGTACCCTATGATGCGACGTCATTTTATCTGAAACAAGACTCAGTCCCCACCGACACTTCTTATTTCATTTTCTTCTTGAAATGTTCAGTTGGAAATTGAAAGGCAATTACGAATTTGTGTGAGTTCATGTTTTGATCCAGCAGGAGAAATGGAAGATTAAAATAACAAGAAACG